ATCTCAATGAATTAAAAACTTTCATTAAATTGGATTATAAATAATTGGACATTAAAGTAAACTATATATCTATATATATATATATATATCTATATATATATATATATATATATATATATATATATATATATTTTTTTTTTTTTTTTTTTAAAAAAAATATATATATATATATATATATATATATATATATATATATATATATATATATATATATATATATATATATTTTTTTTTTTTTTCTTTCAAACAACCAATATGTAAATATATAAACAATTAGTTTAAGACAAATAATAATAAATCTTGAATTTGTAATAATTTTATCGGACTTTGATCACTAGCACAAAAATCGTGTATAATGTTGAATATTTTGGGCTTTTAACGGCGAAATCGCGAACGACGTCATATCAGGAGACGTTAAATTGATGTCAAAATTAAAAATCATACATAAAGTAGTTAATTAACATGCATTCAAATGAAAGAAAGATTACATGTTAGACGTCAAAATTAAAAATCATACATAAAGTAGTTGATTAACTTGCATTTAAAGAAAGATTACATGTGATGCTACTAAAACTTCGTTCGAGAAAAGAAAAGTTTGAGAAGAATAGAAGGTATCGCGCGCTAAGATAAAGTGAATGAATTTTCAATCTCCAGCTCAAATTTTATTGAATCCTCTAACCTTTTGACGTCGAATTTAAAGGGCATTCGACGTTTTATATCATTTTACGTCGAATTACAATTTTAAACGACGTTTAATAATTGTATTTATTTAAAAAATTCCACTTCATTGGTTGGACGTTGAACGCGTGACGTTATACTGGATTGATAAGAATTTTATTTAAAAATAAATTAGTTATACTAATAAATAAATAAAAGATGAGTATCTCATTAATTACATATTTTATTTTATAGTACATATAAATATAATAAAAAGATTAAGCATATAAATAACTATTAATCAATTTTATTATTATAACAAATTTTAATCTACATACACTTTCAATAAATACAAATCTCAATTTAATTTACATTAAAATTGATTTTTTTTTCATTTCATTAATATATTAACATTTTTAACTATATTCAAACATTATAATTAAATCATTTACATACTTTTTATTTTTAAATTTAATTTTACATAAAATTTATATAAAAAATACGGTTCGTGTGTACGAATAGAAAGAAGATCTCTTGTTTTTACTTTTATTTGTACGGAATCATATTTCACGCTTTCATTTTACTTTAATGGACTTTTGTATACACATTTTATTTTCATATGATATATAATTCAACTCTAATGATAAATTTTAATTATATAACAATATTATTTTAATAGACATCATTAACTAATTATTATGTCAATTTTATAATTTAATTGTAAGCAAATTTATATTTAAATACTATTTTTTAATAATATTATCATTCCTTACAAAAAGACTGGTATATACATATTAATAATTAATTATTATAAACTCAAAGTCAATATCTGCATGTAATTTTGTTTAAAAAATTTAATTTCAATTTTATGTTACTCTAACTATTTTAATGTGTTTATTTGATATGTTTACATTTTACTTTAAATTAATTATTCATATTACATGTTATTCTTGTTCATAATAGTTTAAGTTGTTTTTTTTATTTCATGCGTCAATACATTTCCATATATCTATCTTTTATGTTATTTATATCAACATGTATTTCTGTTTACAAATTTTAATCATTAATTTCATATGATTTTTATTTTATAGGAAACCATATAATTTTACCTTTTTTTAATGAATATCTTTTTATTGCAACACCTATCCATTGATTTAGTTTTATATCATTACTTATTATTTATATTATTATTATTATTATCATTATTATTATTATTGATATTATTATTATTAATATAATCCTTTATTATTATTATTAATGTTGGTATTATTAATTGTAGTTTCTATAATTTATTACTTTAACTCAATTTTCTATAATTTATTACTTTAATATAAATAAATATTAAAATAATATTATTTATTTTTAATTAATTTGTTATAAAGAAAATACCTACAATTAATTATTTATTTATTTATTTTTATATAATCAAACTCTTTATTTAAATATTATATATAATTATAATACTTAAATATATTTATATAAAAGAATTATTTATTTAAATATAATAATTATTATATTAAATTTAATAATAACTTTTTTAAAAAAAACAAGAAAAAAAAAACTCGTGCGTAAGCACGGAATTTCAAAACAATATAATTTAAAATTTGACACAATTTTAACTAAAATATCAATATAATTTAAAAAAATAAAATTACAATAAAAAATACAACATAATCATGGTTTGAAAACAGTAATATATTTCTAAAACATATAACATATAACCATATTAAAATATTAATATTATAATTTTATTATCATATAGAAGCATAATAATTTAGTAAAAAATATTAAAATATAAAATCTAATTAAAAATATCTAAAACAGTTATCATATAACTATCTCTTCAAATACTTTAAAAATAATATACAAATTTTCTTTAATCAAAATTGTAATTATTTTTTAAAATACAGTACAAAAAATTAAATATTAAGTTTTAACTTTTATCAAAATTATTTAATATTATACATCACTATTTAAAATATATTATTGATAAAATTAAAAAAAAAATGATGACAAATAAAATAAATTATAAAAATATTTTATAAATATCATAACAAATATAACTCAAATTTAATAAAGTAATATATAAAAGAAAATAAAAATAACTGACTGGTGCGAACGCAAGGTCTCAAACTAGTTATCAAAGAAAAAGCGAGTGACTATTTGTATAGCTTTTCTACTATACAGAATTATTTCAATTACACGTTGCTCTTTCTCTCTAAAGTAATCGATTTTATATATAACTGTGTAGCCTCCTTTTATAAGTGTTGCGTTTGGACATGACAACTTCTCCTATAATACTAATGCGTCGTGCTTCTAAAGTTATAATCACACATCAGAATCCATACTAACTAAAACAACGACAAAAAGCTTCTGCTAATTTCACACATTTCAATCGTGTTTAATGTTTTTTTTATTCATCACAAGTATTGATTTTAAAATATTGAGTCAATATTTGTTAAATAAAGTTAGTTTGCTTTCTTTTGTTAACTAGAATTCTAACTAGAAAATATTTTGAAGACTTTTTAAAGAAAGTTGACACCAATTTAGTGAAAACAATCAAATTAATTATATCTAAAAAATATTAAATTTAATTATATAAAAATCTCATATTTGTAAATTTGGTCCTAATTGAGCATGGTTTTTTTCCCAAGCCAACAAGTTAAATGTTGGCTTCCACTTTGATTTTGAAAGAGAAATTAAATAAGAAGAATTTTTAACTAAACCGTGATTAAGTGCGCCAAAAGTTCACCAAGTTTGTACCTTGTTTTGGAAATCTAAACTGAATATGATTTTGTTGACTAACTTTCTGTGTCCCTCAAATTAACTCGATATCATATCATCCAACGAATCAAATGCTTGCCAAGAACTTTAAAAATAAAGTTAACCATTTTTATCATTCAAGTTTTGGGAACATAATTAAATAGTATTTCTTCTAAAAAACTATAATACATCGTGTATGGTAGGATATATGAATCGATCGACTGACAACCCAAACGATCACTAAAGGTAAAATAACGAGCTGACATATGATCATTCCCGAACGATCGTCCACCCGCTAGAAAGAGCGATCGTTATATCATATTTACCGATCGGCTTGTAGCGATCGTCTGTTGATTAAACCCAGTCAAAGGTAAGAGTCAACAGATGTCCGGTCAATTTTAGTCAAAATGGATCTTTTAATCCTGACAAACTAAAAGATAAAACGGTTAGAAATAGGTGGCCATGATGTCGCAAATCGCGGAACCAACTAACCCAATATCAAGTACGACCAAGCGGTTGTATTTTCCAGGCAGTTAAGTTCTCCAACCAACAGGATTTTCATCCAACCGGATTTTCAGGTAAATGATTTATCTTACTGCTAGGTTAAATATGAAAAACCAGAAGGAAAAAAGGTACGTTTTTCTGAGTATCAGGAGAGGAGAAAAATATATTATTTTCTTCTGTTATTGGACTGAAAGAGTTCTATCATTTTCTTTTTCTGACTTGAGCGTCGGAGTGCCTTCGCAAGTACCCACTCCATTCTCTCTCAAGAGTTCTAGGCAGGAGGAAGACGTAAAGATAACTACACTACTAGAAGGAGAGGACGTGACTCATCGGATTCGCATCTCGGCCTCAACTACTATACTAAAACACATCGTATAACATTTCGGTCTTTTTTTTATAGATATAATTTCCATAAAATGTAATCAACTTTTTTAGACATAAAATAATTGAATAAACTCCTCATAAAACATTAATGGTGAATATAACGGTAATTAATTCGAATATTATGATGAAAATAATATATTACAAATATTATTAATGATTAAATAGTTTAATTAATCTTTAGAATTTTAAAAAAATGATAGATTTTTGTTTTATTCATGAGAACTTTTTCACTCATGTCTTCTTACACTAAATAGTCTCCCATAATTTAGGATCAATAGTCACCCAAGTACTATGAATCACAAACCTTAACCTAGAACCGCGAAGGTCAAATTGTAAAACAATCATCTCCATCTTCACACCTCAATCACAAAACCTGAAATCGCAAACAGCCACCACCACGAGACTGTTAAAATGTAAATCTAAACTACCTAACGGTTTTAATTGTCAAAAGATAGTTTACTACTTTTGTATCTGATATACATATATCAGTTTTCTGTTAATGAGAAGATAATTGTTTTCTCTATTCTCTTGCATCACGTATTCATTTTCTACATTCTGCCACTCTGTTCTAAAGCACATTACTGGTCTAGCGTTATCAGTGGTATTCAGAGCGACAGGTTAAAGAACCTGGTGAAACTCCGAACAAGCGAAGAAGGACTTAATTTGCGAAGAAGGGTTCTTGTTGAAAGGCGATGGCGGGGATGATCCAGAGCAGCTTGCTAGTATTCGACGGAAAGAATTACGATGACTGGTGTGTGAAGATGGATGTTATCTTAGGCTTTCAAGAAGTTGACGAAATTGTCAAGAGAGGATTTAAAGAACCCTCAAAAGGGGGCACGGATGAAGCAAAGAAAGTCTACAAAGAAAATGAGAAGTTGGACTGTAAGGCACGCATGCTCTTGCATCAATGTGTTTCTGCAACGATATTTCAGAAAGTGTCAAGAGCAACAACAACCAAGGAAGCTTGGGATATATTACAAGATGGATATGGAAATTCAGGAAGGGTGAAGAAAGTGAGACTACAATCGCTGCAAAGACAATATGAGCTCTTGAGTATGGGAGAGCAAGAAACCATTGAAGAATATATTGGCAGAATTCAGGTGGTTGTTAATGCGATGCAAGCGTGTGATAAAGTGGTGAAAGACAGAAAGATCATTGACAAAATCTTGCAAACTCTGACACCCCAGTACAATCACATTGTGGTGGCGATCGAAGAAAGCAAAGATTTGGGAATTATGAAAATTGAAGAGCTACAAAATTCTCTTGAAGCTCATGAGCAACGCCTGGTAGAGAGCAGAGTGGCAGAAAAAAATGCTATACAAAGTACAAATCAGGCACTGCAAGCTAGAAGCAGCCAAATCTACAAGAGTCGCGGAACTGGCAGAGGCAAAGGAAGATTGCGTGGTGGTCGAAATGGAGGCAGATTCGCTAATACTTTCGAACTGACCAAAGATGACATCAACAACGAACAAAAGGAAGGAAATTATAGAGGAAGAGGAAAGTACAGAGGAAGAGGAGGCAGAAAGAACGTTGACAAGAGAAATGTACAATGTTTTACGTGTAATAAATATGGCCATTACTCATCTGAGTGTTGGCACATTGAAAACGCTAAGAAAGAAAAGAGTGATGAGGCGAATCTTGCAAAAGAAGAATTGGAATCGGATTTTGATCACGTTTTGTTGATGAGCGTCGCAATACATGACAGAAACGATGACAGCTGGAGAATTGCACAGGAAAGACATGTTCAAGAGACAAGTGGGGTAACAGACGAGTGTCTAAGAAAGACCGACCGAACAGGACATGTGTCGCTTGCTGGAGAAACAAGCCACGAAGATGAGAAACGTTGTGGTATTTAGATACAGGTTGTTCCAACCACCTGGCAATAGAAACTGGTTGCTCGACTTAGACACAAGCATCAAAGGCATTGTGCGTTTTGCGGACAACAACATCATTAGAGCTGAAGATTTGGGCAAAGTGATGATCACACGCAAAGATGGAAGATCGGTGTACATGCACAATGTTTTATATGTTCCCATGATGAAAAGCAATCTTCTAAGTCTCGGCCAACTCTTGGAGAAAGGATATACCATGAAGATGCAGCAAAGGCATATTGACGTATTCGACTAATGATACTCAAAGCTCCTCTTGCGAGAAATCAAACTTTTAAAGTGAACTTGAACGCAACAGAGATACAGCGTCTCACTGCAATGAATGTTGGAGAAGAAGAGTGGATGTGGCACTATCGTTATGGCCATCTAAATTTTAGGAGTCTGAGTCAACTGAAAGATAAAGATCTTGTGAGAGGCATACCTACAATTGTTGCACCGAACAAAGTCTGTGAAAGTTGTGCTATTGGAAAGCAAATCAGAAAGGCGTTTAACAGACACACACCCAAGAGAGCAAGACAACTGTTGGACGTTGTACATGCAGATGTGTGTGGTCCTTTTGACGTGCCATCTCTAGAAGGTAACAAATATTTTTTACTCTTCGTAGATGAATTAACTAGAGAACTCTGGGTATATTTGTTAAGAGAAAAGAGAGAAGCTTACACACAACTTGTTAAATTCTGTTTCGTGGCCGAGAGGCAATTTTGTCAGCAACTCAGGATTTTCAGGACTGATGGTGGAGGCGAATTTAATTCTGGAGAAACGAGTAGATTTTGTGTTGACAAAGGGATCCTACATGAAGTTACAGCGCCTTACACACCCCAGCACAACGGATTAGCTGAGAGAAGAAACCGAATGCTTTTGGATATGACCAGGTGTATGATTAAAGGGAGAAGACTACTACATTGCCTATGGGGAGAAGCAGTCTCGACTGCTACCTACTTGCTGAATAGAAGTCCTACCAAAGCTTTGTCAACATGCACACCCGAAGAGGCTTGGACTGGAAAGAAACCAGATGTGCATCACCTGCAGATTTTCGATTCGGTCTGTTACAAACACGTCCCAGTTGAACGAAGGAAGAAGTTAGACGACAAAAGTGAATCTCTCATTCTCGTAGGTTATCATCCAACAGGTGCATACAGGTTGTATGATCCAGAGAAGAGGCAAATCTTGATCAGTAGAGATGTGATAGTAGACAACTCTGCTACATTTAGATGAGTGATGCAGAAACTGAATCAATCAAGCAATCTGGTGCTGATGTGCCTACCTGGCTGGAGGAAAAAAAGGCAGAGGAGACCGAACAGATATCTACAAATGAAGATGCTGAAGCTAGAAGGTCACAGAGAACACGATTTCCATCTACGAGACTCGCTGGTCATGAGTTGTTTAGTGATAGTGATATCACGAACTCAGGTGATATAGTTCATTATGCTCTTCTAGCAGGTGTTGAAACACTTTCACGGGGACCAGCCATCAAAATTAAAGAATGGAAGGAGGCTATGTTGGAAGAACTTTCAGCAATTGAGAAGAACAGGACGTGGAAGTTAATGGAACTGCCTCAGCATAAACGGGCCATAGAGGTGAAATGGGTGTTCAAAACTAAATATAAACCAGATGGAAGTGTTGCAAAGCTGAAGGGTAGGTTGGTTGCAAAAGGTTTCTTGCAGAAACCCGGGATAGATTTCACTGATGTTTATGCTCCTGTGGCAAGACTAGAGACTGTGAGACTTGTTGTTGCCTTAGCCAACTTCAATGGTTGGAGCATTTACCAAATGGACGTCAAATCCACATTTCTTAATGACCCTATCAAAGAAGAAGTTTTCATGAAGCAACCACCTGGCTTTGTTAAGAAGGGACAAGAGCTTAAAGTATACAAGTTGAACAAGGCTTTATATGGCCTCCGTCAGGCACAACGAGCCTGGAACAAACACATTGACACATTGCTTATCAGGTATGGTTTCCAAAAATGCACTGTTGAATATGGAATTTATATGAAATTTGTTGAACAGTTAGGTACTCTACTGGTGTGTCTTTACGTCGACGATCTACTTGTCACTGGAAGCTCCACACAGGAAATTGAAGAATTTAAGGTGAAGATGAAGAATGAACTTGAAATGACAGATCTTGGTAGCTTGGGGTACTTTCTTGGGTTGGAATTCGTGTAGACAAAAGATGGAATGTTCATGCATCAAAGAAAGTATATTTTAGAGACTCTAGAGAGATTTAACTTGAAGAACTGTAATAGCACATCCATCCTAGTCATGGCAAACTTGCAACTCACGTGTCAGCAAGAAGAGACCAAGGTTGATACAACCCTGTTCAAGCAGATTGTAGGAACTCTTCGTTACATATGCAACAGCAGACTGAACATCAGCTTCGGAGTCGGGCTTGTCGGCAAGTTCATGCATGATCCAAGACAGTCTCATCTTGCAGCAGCCAAGTACATTATGCGCTACTTGAAGGGAACAACGGATTATGGTCTTCATTTTCCCAGGAAGGTTGATAGTACGTATGATATTTTGAAGGCATGGTGTGATGCAGATTGGAGTGGTGATCAAGTGGATAGGAATAACACCTTTGGGTACCTGTTCAAATTGATGGGAGCTTCAATATCTTAGTGCTCAAAGAAAAAAAATGTTGTTGCACTCTCGTCTTGCGAAGCAAAGTACATATCTGCAGCAGAAACTGCTTGCCAATGTGCATGGCTAGAAGCTATTCTACGAGAGTTGAGGATTGAGCATTGTAAACCAACATGCTTGATGGTGGATAACAAATCAGTTATCAGCTTGTCCAAGAACCTAGTCTCTCATGGCAGAAGCAAGCATATAGAGACTAAGTTTCCTTATCTTAGAGATCAAGTCAGTAAGGATAGATTAGAACTGGTGTACTGCACTACAGATGAGCAAACAACAAACATCTTTACTAAGGCATTACGGCAAAACAGATTTGAAAGGCTGAGGGACTCTCTTGGTGTTATATCTTTTAGTAGTTTAGCTTTAAAGGGCAATGTTAAAATGTAAATCTAAACTACTTAATGATTTTAACTGCCAAAAGACAGTTTTCTACTTCTGTATCTGATATACATATATCAGTTTCCTGTTAATGAGAAGATAATCGTTTTCTATATTCTCTTGCATCACGTTTTCATTTTCTACATTCCGCCACTCTATTCTAAAGCATACTACTGGTCCAGTGTTAACAGACAACCACCGATCTCTATTGCCTTCTTCGTTGCACCTTTCTTGCCAAATCACTAACCTACAAAACCAAAACCACCATAGACCCTTTTGTCTCTTTCATAGCAACCACTCAAACCCACCGTGACTCCTCCACACCTCAGTTCTACAAAAACCAAAAAAACAACAAAACCCTAATTAAAATGAAATTATAAATGTTTTGGTGGCTACGTGCAGATTGGTTGGCAAAATCTAGTGCATCGTTGCGATCAATGGGTGGTGGCTAACGACATTGTGGTTGTTCGCAAAAAACATTCCTAATTTAATTTTAATTAAATTTTACTAATTTTTTAATGTTTAAAATATTAAAACTCATGTAATATACTCAAGTCTAATACGTATTTTAATTAAACCACTTCGTTATGTGATGTTAGTTTACGTTTGATGTCATGATGTCAATTTAATGATAGAGATCCAATTACATTATTTTTTTCGTAGTAGATCTAATTAAGATAAAAAAAACTAAGATACTTATTTTAAAACAATTACAAGAAATAAGAACCAATTGTATGATTAAATTTTTTATTTTTTTACTTTCTTATACGTTTTTTAAGGATAAAATCTGAGTTTCACACTCTAAACATAAGTGATATGTATTGATATAACAATTTATTAAACATACTTGAGATCGCATTGGATGTTTAGTTATGTAATTTTTTTTATCATGATATGGAAAGTAATAAAGACATGTTAATTATTCATAGCGAACTCGGACCGAAATGATGATATTATGAAAAAAAATGTGGCTAATAGTTGATTTTGATATTAAAGAATATAAGTGGAGTGTAGAAGGAAGAGAAGAAGAGGTATTAATCAATTGGAAAATGATACTTTAACAACAACATTTGACAACGTTTTGACACGGAACACGTGTCAAAATGTGAGTGGTGCACCTGGAAAATAATTTTTAAATATGAGAATGACGTGGCAACAAAATTGGGGCAGGGTTTCAAGTTTTGGGTTCCTTTTCGTTTATCAAATTTCGAATTTTAGGAAGCTTCAAGAGAGAACCGAGAGCGCAAAACCTAGAAAAAGTCTCCTCTTCCCTCCACCCAGCCACCGATTGCCGTCGGAGTGTCGCCATAGTGCTGTCGTTCACTGAGAGAGTGGCGCTTCCTCCTACCCACCCATTGCCGTCGGAGTGTCGTCGCTCTTAGAGAGAGTGTCGCTTCCTCCCACCCACCCATTTTCGTTGTCATCATTTTTTCCACTTATAAGTAATGTGAAACCAATTTTTATACAATTTATGAATNGAAAATATTTTGAAGACTTTTTAAAGAAAGTTGACACCAATTTAGTGAAAACAATCAAATTAATTATATCTAAAAAATATTAAATTTAATTATATAAAAATCTCATATTTGTAAATTTGGTCCTAATTGAGCATGGTTTTTTTCCCAAGCCAACAAGTTAAATGTTGGCTTCCACTTTGATTTTGAAAGAGAAATTAAATAAGAAGAATTTTTAACTAAACCGTGATTAAGTGCGCCAAAAGTTCACCAAGTTTGTACCTTGTTTTGGAAATCTAAACTGAATATGATTTTGTTGACTAACTTTCTGTGTCCCTCAAATTAACTCGATATCATATCATCCAACGAATCAAATGCTTGCCAAGAACTTTAAAAATAAAGTTAACCATTTTTATCATTCAAGTTTTGGGAACATAATTAAATAGTATTTCTTCTAAAAAACTATAATACATCGTGTATGGTAGGATATATGAATCGATCGACTGACAACCCAAACGATCACTAAAGGTAAAATAACGAGCTGACATATGATCATTCCCGAACGATCGTCCACCCGCTAGAAAGAGCGATCGTTATATCATATTTACCGATCGGCTTGTAGCGATCGTCTGTTGATTAAACCCAGTCAAAGGTAAGAGTCAACAGATGTCCGGTCAATTTTAGTCAAAATGGATCTTTTAATCCTGACAAACTAAAAGATAAAACGGTTAGAAATAGGTGGCCATGATGTCGCAAATCGCGGAACCAACTAACCCAATATCAAGTACGACCAAGCGGTTGTATTTTCCAGGCAGTTAAGTTCTCCAACCAACAGGATTTTCATCCAACCGGATTTTCAGGTAAATGATTTATCTTACTGCTAGGTTAAATATGAAAAACCAGAAGGAAAAAAGGTACGTTTTTCTGAGTATCAGGAGAGGAGAAAAATATATTATTTTCTTCTGTTATTGGACTGAAAGAGTTCTATCATTTTCTTTTTCTGACTTGAGCGTCGGAGTGCCTTCGCAAGTACCCACTCCATTCTCTCTCAAGAGTTCTAGGCAGGAGGAAGACGTAAAGATAACTACACTACTAGAAGGAGAGGACGTGACTCATCGGATTCGCATCTCGGCCTCAACTACTATACTAAAACACATCGTATAACATTTCGGTCTTTTTTTTATAGATATAATTTCCATAAAATGTAATCAACTTTTTTAGACATAAAATAATTGAATAAACTCCTCATAAAACATTAATGGTGAATATAACGGTAATTAATTCGAATATTATGATGAAAATAATATATTACAAATATTATTAATGATTAAATAGTTTAATTAATCTTTAGAATTTTAAAAAAATGATAGATTTTTGTTTTATTCATGAGAACTTTTTCACTCATGTCTTCTTACACTAAATAGTCTCCCATAATTTAGGATCAATAGTCACCCAAGTACTATGAATCACAAACCTTAACCTAGAACCGCGAAGGTCAAATTGTAAAACAATCATCTCCATCTTCACACCTCAATCACAAAACCTGAAATCGCAAACAGCCACCACCACGAGACTGTTAAAATGTAAATCTAAACTACCTAACGGTTTTAATTGTCAAAAGATAGTTTACTACTTTTGTATCTGATATACATATATCAGTTTTCTGTTAATGAGAAGATAATTGTTTTCTCTATTCTCTTGCATCACGTATTCATTTTCTACATTCTGCCACTCTGTTCTAAAGCACATTACTGGTCTAGCGTTATCAGTGGTATTCAGAGCGACAGGTTAAAGAACCTGGTGAAACTCCGAACAAGCGAAGAAGGACTTAATTTGCGAAGAAGGGTTCTTGTTGAAAGGCGATGGCGGGGATGATCCAGAGCAGCTTGCTAGTATTCGACGGAAAGAATTACGATGACTGGTGTGTGAAGATGGATGTTATCTTAGGCTTTCAAGAAGTTGACGAAATTGTCAAGAGAGGATTTAAAGAACCCTCAAAAGGGGGCACGGATGAAGCAAAGAAAGTCTACAAAGAAAATGAGAAGTTGGACTGTAAGGCACGCATGCTCTTGCATCAATGTGTTTCTGCAACGATATTTCAGAAAGTGTCAAGAGCAACAACAACCAAGGAAGCTTGGGATATATTACAAGATGGATATGGAAATTCAGGAAGGGTGAAGAAAGTGAGACTACAATCGCTGCAAAGACAATATGAGCTCTTGAGTATGGGAGAGCAAGAAACCATTGAAGAATATATTGGCAGAATTCAGGTGGTTGTTAATGCGATGCAAGCGTGTGATAAAGTGGTGAAAGACAGAAAGATCATTGACAAAATCTTGCAAACTCTGACACCCCAGTACAATCACATTGTGGTGGCGATCGAAGAAAGCAAAGATTTGGGAATTATGAAAATTGAAGAGCTACAAAATTCTCTTGAAGCTCATGAGCAACGCCTGGTAGAGAGCAGAGTGGCAGAAAAAAATGCTATACAAAGTACAAATCAGGCACTGCAAGCTAGAAGCAGCCAAATCTACAAGAGTCGCGGAACTGGCAGAGGCAAAGGAAGATTGCGTGGTGGTCGAAATGGAGGCAGATTCGCTAATACTTTCGAACTGACCAAAGATGACATCAACAACGAACAAAAGGAAGGAAATTATAGAGGAAGAGGAAAGTACAGAGGAAGAGGAGGCAGAAAGAACGTTGACAAGAGAAATGTACAATGTTTTACGTGTAATAAATATGGCCATTACTCATCTGAGTGTTGGCACATTGAAAACGCTAAGAAAGAAAAGAGTGATGAGGCGAATCTTGCAAAAGAAGAATTGGAATCGGATTTTGATCACGTTTTGTTGATGAGCGTCGCAATACATGACAGAAACGATGACAGCTGGAGAATTGCACAGGAAAGACATGTTCAAGAGACAAGTGGGGTAACAGACGAGTGTCTAAGAAAGACCGACCGAACAGGACATGTGTCGCTTGCTGGAGAAACAAGCCACGAAGATGAGAAACGTTGTGGTATTTAGATACAGGTTGTTCCAACCACCTGGCAATAGAAACTGGTTGCTCGACTTAGACACAAGCATCAAAGGCATTGTGCGTTTTGCGGACAACAACATCATTAGAGCTGAAGATTTGGGCAAAGTGATGATC